GCCACCAACACCACCTTCGGGAGCCGCGTCACTGCCAGCGCCGCGCGCGCCGCGACACTCAGCGCGCCCAGCACGGCGCCGCCGTCGTTGAGCACCAGGCAGTCCACGTGCACCAGCCAGCACGTCTTGCCGGACAGCACGCACAGCGCGTGGCGGTCCATCGTCGCGCGCAGCGCAGACTGCAGGGCGGCCGCCATGTCAATTCCCCAGTCCTCGCCACCGCGGCCCTGGAGGGGGCATGGGGTTTGGTCAGGGCCAGGAACGGGGGAGTGAAGGGGTGTGCATTGCTGTGTGACAAGGTTATGAATTGTGTGTGCGTGTGTGTGCTCGTGCATGTTTGTGTGTGTGCGTGTGTGTGTGTTTGTGCATGCGCATGTGTGTGTGTGTGTGTGTGTGCAGGACGAAGCAAGAGAGAGACAGAGACAGTGCGTGTGTGTGAGCGGGAGCGAGTGTGTGTGCGCGTGCACAAGCGCACATGCGTGTGCGTGCGGAGGGGCGAAGTCAAGGGGGTTGGGCCCCAGCGAGCGAGGAGTTCCCGGATGGCACCTGCGAGCGCGCCGCGGCTGCGGCGGCAGCGGCAAGACCCCTGCCGGAGCCTCGCAGCCCAGCCTGCTCCACTGCGGCCGGCCCCTTGCCAGGCCGCTCAACGGGCGAAGCCTGTCGCAGGCGCACTGCTGGCCTGTGCGCGCTGAGCTGGCGCAGCTGCGATCGGCGGCCCCAGGGCTCGAGCCCAGCCCTGGGTCCTGGGCTGCTTGCGGCAGACACCCTTTCCTGTAGCCCACCTTAAACTCAGGTGACGCACATGAGGAGCACTCCACCGACACAAACACCTGCCCCTTGTCTGGCGCGCCCGCCTCCGGCTGCCCCAGCGACACCTGCGGCGGCGTCATCCCAGAGTCGCCTGAGCAGAGCCTTGCAGAAGAGCCTTGCTAGCTGGCTAGCCGCACCCTGCGGCGTGGCTGTGCAGCGATGATGGTCGCCTACCGTCTGCCACTCTGCTTTATCAGTGCCCCATCCCACCCGCTGTGACACCCGGGCCGCGCACACCTTCACGCCCGCTATGACATCTGTGGCGCCCACGTGCAGCCGCGATGACCCGTTGGCGGCGGCGATGACCCCGAGCTCAAGCTCTAAGGGCCGCAGGTCGCGGCAGCCGCGCCCGTCGTTCCGCAGGTCCTGCGCCACGCCCTGTGCTATGTACAGCCGCTCCGCGTCGCTGACCTCCGCCTGCATCGCCGCCGCTGCTGCGCCGTGCCTGTCGGACGCCCTGGATCAGTCCAGCACGGGAGATAATAGCGCCTGATGCGCGGGTGCAGCGGCGGCGCAGTGAGCGGCGGAGCGCCAGGAGCTGAAATTAAATGCTGACCAATGGAGTACAACAGATATTAGCATGCCGATGGTGCTATCAAGATTGATTGGCTTCCACACTTGCGGCGGCTCCGAGTCACGATCTCTGTCAGATCAGATAACTTTAGGTACCGGCCGTTTCATGTTATCGGTTATTGTTCCTTGAGATATAAAGTATTTGCAACATATATCGCAAGCATATATATACAGCAAAGCAAAGTCTGCCTCGCCCGCGCTCGCGATCATGTTGCTCCGGACCGCTCTCCTGCAGAGACTGGCCGGGTACGCCCGTACAAGCGAAGGGGTTGCGGCTGTCGCGCTCGCCATGGCCGTGCGTTGATCCAGCAGCATCGGCCGTGCACGTGTCGGCGGCAGCGGCGGCGGCGCACAGCAACCAGTCATGCGGCAACAAAGCCAAAGCCGCCGAATCTCAACTCACACATGCACAGGCCCCGCGACGCACGCAGGGCCGCGCCGCGCGGGCTCGCCGCGGTGCGGGGCGTGCCGCTGCGGGCCTATTCAGAGGGTGCCGAAGCTTTGGGGGCTGGGCAGCTCGGCGGTGACCCGAGCCTCGTATACGATGCAGAGTGAGCCGCCGTGCGCGCGGCGCGCTGCACGATCACCGTCGCGCCGCACCCATTTTAGTGTCTGGCATAGCCGAAACTCGTTAATTCCGAGGGCCCGGAACGAAACCGGCGGCTGGGGGGGATCCGATGTGGCCGGCGTCAATTATTTCAGCAGGCGTGCGCACCCCGGCCCCCGGCCTAAATCAACACACGCACACAACCTGCCCTGCCCGACTCACTCTCCAGGTATAACCCGGACTGCCGCAACGCAGGTGAGCGCCGCCCCTGCGCCCGCCTCGCGCGCCGCACGCCGTCCGCGCCGCAGCCCCTCTTCGCGCAGCCTCCCGCCCCCTTGCCCCACCC